AATTGATGTTTTGGACCTGTGACCGATCCAGTAGATGGGGGTTGAATAATCTGCACGGTGCGCATACGTGCCTGAGTGAGATTAAAGTAGTTTGGCATCACTCTGGTTATCCATTCGGCCATGAATTAAATCACCTGCAGAGGGGATAAAAGTCCGGCCCAATGGAGTGAATCACGGCAAATAAAGGAAACGTATAATAACACACTCCCCTGGTACTGAGATCGTCGCTTTGTATCTTAGGCTACTTCTTCCTTCTTTTTTAAATCCTTTTTTTTCAATGGAACGTTTTACGCTGTCACCTGAAATATATCAGGTCAGCAGAGGGGGAGGTTTGCCCAACGAAAAGGTAGAGAAACGCATTGGGAAAATTGCAAGCTGAGTCAAAACATGGGAGTAGACAAAAGCAAAGAGGAGAGAGAAATGGGTAGGTGGACCAGGAGTGATGTACAGCTTAAGGATTGAGAAAAAATTGATAGCTGGAAGGGAGCACGCACAGATACGCTCTCAGCTCTCTCTGACCTGAGAGGCACAGCCAGTTTGATTTAGTGCCAATCAGATGTTTTTAATGTCTGTGCGGCACATAATAATTTATTAGGATTATCATAAACTTGTGCTGGGAGAAGGAGCCGGGCCACTTGTGCCTCTCTCTCAGAATGAATTACTTGCTGCAAGCAGGGGCGTCAATCAGGACCAAAATGGCGAAACCAGCTTCTTCCCACTTTGTTTTTTTTCTCCTGGCTCTCCATGCAGCCCTTAATATCTAGGACCAACAATAGATAGTCGTCCCGTCGTAATCTACCCTACGAGGATCCAAGACTATTAAGTGGTGGAGAGCTTAAGGCAGGTCTTAATTATTTTCCGGCCTGGGAGATGTTCCCCAGCCATCGGCCCCGAGGAGGGGAGAATTTTGTGGTTGCTGGGATGGGCGTATACACATCAGCACAATGAATAATTTCACAGCAGTGCCCAAATTCCATTAAGCCCTTCAGTCTCATATTGATTCAATCAGATATTTTGTTGATTTTTGTGGGTGCAGAGCTTCCTGTTTAATTTCCAAGACTGTGTTAAAGGCACATTTGTCATTTTAGTGTTTTTTTTTTCGGTTTGTTTTTGTATCTGAGTAGAAACTAACACTGATCTCACATCATCTTTTAAGCCTTTTTCGCTCCATTGCAGACACGCAGAAGATGGGTGAATGCATTAAAAGTATTGGGTTGGATTAGAAGGTAAAGCTTTGTTGTATCTGTCCAAGACTTTGATGAGCTTGTGATTTGGTCTTGAATTAATCTACATAGGGCAAGAAATCGATAAATGGGGGGGGGGGGGGGGCATAGTCAGAAGAACATTGTTCAGGTGCATGCCTTCATACTCCATTGTTATTTCTTTTACCATTCTATATTTTATTAGTGTTTCTAATTGTGTTTTCCTTACAACTATGGGAGCAAACCAAAGGGTGATAGGATGGCAAACAAAAGTGGGACAGTTGGAACTTGAACTTCTGACATCACCTTCTAAACCCCTTCCTAACTCCTTTAAACACTATTCAACATTGCAAAAGAACAGTTTCACATCATTCAAAATGTCATCATGGTTCATTTGCATTTAACAAATCAACCATTGGTGGAATATGAAATTGCTTCATTGGTCTATATTAAGATAGGTAAATAACAATAAAACTAGAAAATGTAGACATTTTATGTAATTCTTATGATTTTCTTTCCCTGAAGTTAATATGATTATTGAAGTTATTGTTAGAATGTCAATCTCTTATGACATAAAACAATTAAATATTTTGCATTATTACCTTGTCATGACACTGTCTCTCCATTAATACTTTTGATTTGGTCTTAAACTCTTATAAAGATAAATAATAAAGAAGAATAGTGATTTGGTCAGGGCTCCCAATACGTAGGTCGTCATGCAATTAATTCCTGCAATTACATTCTGTTCACGAGTTGTGCTTTTGTTTTACATTGTACTTTTCTACTTCCCCCCTCTCCATGCTCCGCTAAGTGCTCATACTTGAACAGTTATCGGGTCTGCCCAGGATTAGGGTTAAGTGAGTGGAAGTTCCGCAGTGCTCCGTTCAACTCAAGGGACAACCTGAGCTCTGCTTTTTAAAAACACGGGCCATGCCTTTTAAATCTTTTACCGCTTGTCGTGTTAAACCGAATGTTGCCGGTAACACATTTCATGCCCATGATCAAGTGAAGCCTTAGAGAGAAGGACTGTGTCTTTTTGTATTTGGACATGCTGTAATCGCTAAATTTACAATGGAGATTTAAGACGCACGGTGGCATGCAGTGATCATGGCAAAAATGCATTCCGACAAATGAATGCAAAACATGTGGAACAATAGAAGGGCTGGCTTTTGGGTGCCTGCTTGTGGCCTGTGCTACCATAAAGCTCTGTGGGAGTATGAGAGGCACACAGACTGGAAGCCTAATTAATCCGGCCGTCCTTAATTAGCCCCCCTCCCTCCCACCCATTACGCTCTCGCCAATCTTCAGATGCTTGCTTTCCCCCTCCTCCTCTCCTCTCGTCTCCTCAACACGTGTCCCCTCTTTTTTCTCCCGTCATATTTATTCGTCTGTTTCTTCCATTCTCTCCCCTATGCTGTCGGGTTTTGCCATCTTTTTTCAGGCTCGACTGAATGGCGACAATATGTTCCAAGGTGATAAACAGGCACATGGTGCTGCGGAGGGGCGGCTTAGGCAAAGCTATGGATCTCTCCGTTGTTCCTCGAAACCGCCACTGGAGAACGAGACAAAAGCCCAGCTGTAGGTGGCAAAGACCGTCTGCAGCACTGCGTTGCCTTCAGAGATATCTAGCGTCTCACAATGCAGGTGGCCACAGTGCGGAGGGTGGCACGGTGCCCTGAGCACTGCACTTCCCTCTTCCAGATCCACACTGTAAGCCGCAAACGCTGGATGCATCCCCCTCCATCATAGCTGAATAATACTAAGCGAGGCAAAAGGCTGCCGACGCTCAAAAAACGCTGACTTTAATGACGCCGGCGCTATGAGATCCAGCCCACTCACTTTTTCTGCCTCGGAATAATGGGGCGGTAATTCCACCAGTGGCCACGACCATTTAAAATGACTATCACGGTGAATGCTGATCAAGACTAACTGTTGACTTTGCCGCGCACCGCGCGGAATTCACAATGAACTGTGTGATTACCTCATCAGGATTTGTTTGTCTGCTTTCCATGACACACAAAAAAAAACTTTAAGCTAGGAAGGAGTATGGAAGCAACGTTTAGCCTTTTTTAAAATGCTATCCTATATTACTAGGACACGTCATCATTGGATAGAGTGGACATTTTTGCTTTCATTATACAATATCTTTCTTTTTTAATGACCAAGTATTTTTTTCAGCCATGTATGTGTGAATGTTTTGTTTTTGTTACCTCACTTGTCAGGGCGTGGGTCTAAAGGGAGGACTCAGGTTGCGGAGAGCTCGTTGACAACAGGGTTTATTGTAACAAAAAACGCACTCAAAAGAGTGGATGGAAGACATGGTTCAAAACAAGGCTGTGACAAAACTATGAACAAAGTATCAAATCAAGATTAAACATGACTGTGAACACAAAGTATCAAATGAAGAAAACAAGGCTATGGCAAAGTATCAAATCAAGATTAACAAAACTGTGGCAAGGCTGTGACAAAAACATGGCTATGGCAATAAAGTAAACAAGATTATGGCATGGCTGTGATAAAAATCAAACCTTACGTGGCGAAGGGTGACAAAAACAGAAAGACAAAATGACGAAAACACACTGGCACAGGACATGGGAAACGAGGACTATTTAAACACATGAGGGAGGGGAACCCCAGGTGTACACAATAGGTAATCAAGACATGACGAGACACCAGACATTCCCCCAGACGTGACCTTACTCAGTTTTGATGTTTTTGCTTTGATTCTGTACATTTAATATTATGTTCAACCAGCTTAGCAGCCTTATGGAAATTAAGACATGGCGTAAAATGTGCTAAATAGACTGAGCAACCTTAATCAGTTTCAAATGATTCTCTCACCTTTTAAATCTGTCCATGAAATATCTGGGTTCATGTTTATAATTATCACCATACGCAATTGAGTTGGTTATCACAGCCTGGTCTCTTCGCCAGCTGAAAGTAAAGCAGTCACCATGCCTGCTACTTAGCTTGTTGAAGGTTACAAAAACTGTTGACCCGTGGCAGGATGGAGTTTGTCCTGTGTGCCCAACCACATTAATTCAGAATGATGAACTGGGCTATAAAGCACAGACCAACCCCCACCTATCTTAAGTAGGTTGCAGATCTTACACATTTTATGTAAAACTGGTATTGGAGCAACTGGACAGAATATCGACATTGTCTTGATTTGTAATACCACAAATACATTTAAAAAATTAAAATATTCAAATATTCAACATCACAGCCTCCCAGTTGCACTTTAACCTGACTGCATCATGTAAATAACACACTTATTAGACAGCCAAACTTGAGAATGAATGATTTCAAATTACAAAATTTGAAATCTCAGCATCGCTTGTCTTTTTTGTATTATTATTCGGCACGTCGTTTCAACCACATAAAAGCGAGACAGAATAGCAAAAATAATCACATTAAAAGGAAGCATATTAATCACAAGTTAATCAAGTAATGTTTTATATAATTTAACAGCACACATGCATCTTGGGGAGTCAGCTCACTCAACAGTTTCACTCTGTCAGGTGTATTAAATAGCCGGTGAAAAATTATGGAACGCAAAGAGATAATTACTCGCATTAGATCTGTCTTACTTTCAATGGGCCATAATGTAATAGATATCTTGAGGGATGACTCTCCATCTTTCCCCCTTAGATGGCCGTAAACACCGGCTATCAAGGTCATCTCCTATCCTTGCTGCACTCTTCCTTTCTTTCCTTTCTCCCTCTTCTCCTCGTCTTTCATCACAACTCACCTGTTCTTCATTTGGTTGAATCTTCCTCTGCTTTTTCTCGCTTTAAGAAGAAGCGGGATACATTTCGAGACCGAGGCCAGAGGGAGGCTGTCACCACGCCACCGCCCTTACCTCGGCGTAATATTGCTTCAAATGTCAAAGCGTGGTCCTGATTGCCTGCGCCATATTAGACGAGCCTGCGCCTGGCATTTTGCAGTGAACTTGCTTTCAGACGAGATAAAGAATCCCTCCGGTTATGTCATATGGCGTGTTATTTCGGAACGGCTTCAGATGGAGACTCGGATGTTTCGTTTTCGACAGTGTGTTGTGTTCTGGTTAACTGTGTGGACGACCGATGCATAGGACTGTCCATTTCTCGCTACTTCAGCTACTTTATCGTTACTTGTAATTCTAGGTTTTTCTTTAAGATTAAGGCACAATGACTCACCGCTGTACTGCAGTCTGCGAGCTTAACCAGCACAGTCCTTGAGAAGTAGACATAAATCTGTTCAGTCTGCTCCAGTTTAGTTCCTTTCTCCCGCATTTCTTCCTCACGCGCTGTGATTCACTGGCTTGAATCTCCTCTTTTAGAATATATTTCGGCATATTTTATTGCTTTCCTTTCCTTTTCTCTCTTTTTTTCCTTCTTTTTAGTCTATTCAGAGTGGCCCATTTCTTTTGAGTGAGTTTTTGGTTCCTCTCTGTGTCTGTGTTTCTTTAGCTTCCTCTTTCTCAGGGCTTGTTCGGCATCATTTGCATGGCCTAGTTTTTGCAGCATGTGGTTTGGTTAATACCCACAAGTAGACACTTGAGCAATAAACACTCCCCTCGCCGTGTTTAACAGTGGGCTTTCCAGACTGAACTTTACTTCAAGCTTGATCTTTACAATACCTAGGTATACTTCCTGACAACAGAACACACCCGCAGAGTATAAAAAAAGACATGAAAAAGTCCTATAAGAAACACTGTACTGAAAGTTCAGGTTTTTATTTCTAAATAATAAATACCGTATTTATATATTAATGTAACTGCTAATTATTTTAGATTTTCACAGAATAGGCCTAAACAATGTAATATCAAAGTTAGATTCATTAAGACTAGATAAGATTTTTTGTTTTGTCTATTTTTTCTGTAAGAGAAAACAACATTTATAATGCAGTTTAATAGCAGGTTTCTGTTTGTCATTTATTTTTTATATTAGTTGCTTTGGTTTTTAGTCTCATATAATTCTCTTTGTAAATACGTTTGATACAAAGCAGCACGGCCGTGATAAGAGGGGGAGAAAGAGAGGAAGAAAAACAGCCAAAGCACAACTCCAAGAGAGCTGCTTAGACACAGGAGCTCACACAGACTTTCTTGGAACAGATTCAATTTTTAAAAAGTATGCTTTTCAGCGCAAGTGGTACTTGAAAAAGCGGGCATCGTCAAAAGGTTACCTGGTTGCCAAGTCACAGAGTGCTGGTGTTTGGCTCGCCACTGCATAATTTGGGTTTCACAAAACAATAAGAGGTCATGTTTTGATGAACTCATATGGGACTGGTGTTTTTTCTTTACCATTTCTGCTTACTTTACTAATCAGAGCTATATATACTGACACTATTAAATCGTATCGATATATGCGCTTCACTAATGCACAGCAAAGTATCATCTCCATTAATTTGCTGCAAATTTGAAAATTTAGCTTCTTGTATATCTTATATTTAATCTGGGAATGTGATTACTTTGAGTATTTTAACAGACACATATCCTATGATCATAATTTTGATTATAAATGATCGATAACATTCACACATTCACACAAATCCACTCAGAATTTTGAGAAAACAGAAAAAAAGAAAAGAAAAAGAAGGTCCCAGAAAGATAATCTCACTATTTATACACAAGGCTTTCTGGGACACCAGAAACCCAGGAGGAAGTCGTCTGTACACAGTAAACACATTTTTATGTTGAGCTTGTGATGAGGCTCAAGTTTGGCTGTCTAATATGTGGAAGGCGGTGGAAAATAAGACAATGGGAATGGATAAGAGACAGAGTAGACAGAGCTGGGTTAATATATAATGGCTGACTGGGGGGAAATGACAATTAACCATTTTTTCATTGCACCTGGCGTTATGGAAAAAAAAAAGTGTCTCTCACAATGAGGGCCAAGTCATCGGGACATCATATGTTTCCATGACAACTAAAAGTTTCTTTTTTCGTCCCTTCTTTTTTATTTAAACAATGTCAGGCTGGGCCTTCTGATCACCAATATGCTAGTTCCACATAGATACTAGCAGTAGTGATGTATTAAAAATGGTCTCATTGAGCCTCCAGTGTCCTTCCTCTAAATTTAAAATCTATGCTTTAGAAAAAATACTAAACCAATTATGCTGTCATTCTCAGACTCTCCTTAGACATGGATGTCTCTCGGAGTACTAGAAAAAAAAAATTCAAGTTTCAGCAAAAAAGAAAAGAAAAAGAAAACCAGCAAATAAATAGTCGATGTCTTCTCTTGAATCTTAGAATTTAGATAGTACTGCGGTCCGTCTATTTTCTTCCGAGTGATTACCCGTTGGGATAAAAAACGAATACGTTATAGACTCTTACTGGTGGGAAGAAAGTGTGTTGAAGTCCATTTAAATAGTCCATTTAAATAGTTTTCCTTCTTAACTCACTGTATGTGACAGGTATTTTTGGCATACTATTTCCATTCAGTGCTGTCTATGGTAGAAATGTTCAACATCTCTGAATGCCTCCAATTTAACATCTTCTGAAATTAATTGAAACTTCTGTTTGGAAACTTTCAAGTTGTTGCGATGCGTGCCAAGCACTGTGGTTTCTTTGGATAAGCTTTCTTTAAATTTGAGATGTTTGATTTGAAAGCTAGATTTCTGAGAAACCCCCATACTGCATGGGTGTTGTGTTCAGTATTGTAGAGACGGTCACTTGTATGCAATCAGACTGAGGTGGGGAGAAGAACAGTCCCAGCAAAATCACAGGCCACTTTTCTATTGTCACACAGTTGGAAAATGATGAGGCCAATCTGTACCATGCGGGGAAAGACAGTCCCCTGTAGGCTTACAGATTATGTGGCAGTGCATTTATGTTAGGTTCCCCCATCTCTCATTTTGGAAGCTGCAGGTGGGCTTTTTTTCTAGAGCGGAGATTCAAGCTCTCCCCCGGCCCCCTTTCGATACGAGGTGTAAGTAGACGTGCCGTAGTATGCATTGTTTTCAGGCTGTACTTGCTTTGGACAGATCCATTTTAACAGAGGTCCATTTCACTTTCGGTGAGGCAAACTATTATGTGCTACATCAATTTAATGCCTTTTGTTGCAGAGCCATTTCTGGAGTAACACATGTATTTATTTTCAATAGTAAATTGCCATTTCTAAATGTCACTGAGTCAATCAAATAATGGTGTATTTAATAGTATGGATCCATGGATGAATGATATCTCATAGGTATGACTGACTTAGTTGGAGTGACGTGAAAATCAGAAGGGTGAGAAGAGGAGACCTAAAGTTCCAATCTAGTAACAGAAGAAAATGTAAAAACACATTTATATTTGTGGGAGAATTCAAATTAGAATGGTTGTTTTGCAACCAAAGTTTGGATGTATTCCCTGTGTACCTTCAATAATTATTTGTTAATGATTTAGATTCATTCAACAGTCCAAAGGATTACATGACAGGACAATTCTCAATTACATCTTCTGTGTAACAGACCTATTGCTCAGCATCGGGTGGTGCATTATGTGAGATAAAGGTCAAGTTAAACAATGGAAGCGTGCCAGTGACTTGTCTAGGATGTTAAGAATTGATTTACTTGTGTGTATTTGTGTTAGTTGACCCCCCACAGAGACTAATCAGACTGAACCAGAGGGTCTGTCAGTGTAATACACAATTTTTTTACTTTCTCCGTTGTACGATAATGTATTCCCTGGATATTTGTTTCGGGAATCCACAAAGAACCGTGGATTGAGGAAGAGTTGGACTTAAATGCAGACGTGTACAGGAAGTGGCAAATGGAAATGAGCCATGTTAATTCATCACAATAAAACAGAAAAGGGTGCCGCCTAGGTAAATGACGATAAACCAAACCAGAAGAACCAAACAAAGTATGGAATAGATTATCTAATATTATGACATAGAAAACAAAGATAATACATGTTAATTCTGTCAATAACTGGCAGGTCGTTCTTAGTTTACCACAACCCTTCTCAGTGTCAGCTAGGGGCTTTTTGTATTTTTATCAATATATGAATAGACAACAATTCTCTTTGATTACAGGGATGTCTAATGCCATTTATTTTCTTATACTCATTCATAAACAGGGGTTATCAATGACAATAAACTAATTTCCTTCTGCAATAAGGTGTAAAATGTCTTCAGATCAACAACAGTGATCTTAAACTTTGGTCCTCAAGGGCTGCTGTCCTGTAGGGATTTGATTTTTGTTTGGATTCAACCTTCTTCAAAGATTGTTAAATTATACACCAGTGTGGGGCCATGATTGTAATTAGATGTGTTGAAGCATGTAAAATTCGAAAACATGCAGGACAGCGGCACTCGAGGACCAGAATTCGGAGATCCCCTGTTCACAAAAGACCGCCAGGGTTCTGGGAAGTTAAGTCAGACATCCAGAAGATTCCACCCCACTGAAAGGGATTTTCAAGGCTCAGTGAACCTCTGATTTCTTTCCAAACAGAAAGTCTGCTTTTGTAGACAGTGTTTTCTGAAGCAATTACCTCAGCTCAGGGGCCTCAAACTCCAGTATGTCCGGAGACCCGCAGACTCCCGCTTTTCAGTCTCTTTCACCTCTAAAAGGTAAACACCAAAGTCTTACCAAGCTAGCCGAGAAGTATGATTTAATCAGTGAGCCACCAGGATGTTCTGAGTCCTAACCCTGTGTGAGGATGAGCTAAAGAACAAATATCGCAATCTGTTAACATTATAAAGAATTCAGGAATTTACTGAGCCTTTGAGAATGTCCTCTTAAAAATATCGAAATAAAAATATCACCAATATTAGATGCGTTAGAGCTAAAATATAGCAGCTAAAACTTCTAGGCTTAGTCCTGGTGTGCCTGTGAAGTGCCCATTTATTTCCTACATTCACAAAATAGTGGCATATAATATTTGTATATCTGCTAACGTCAAAATCCTTGTTATTGAAAAGCATTTATTTATCTTT